TATCTCCCAACTCCAGGGATTAAGATAATTACAGGATTCTTCAATTTACAAAATATTGATATTCTTTTCTCGCTCTTCATTTCCTATTTATTTCTTCAGTATACGTCAATCATAGTAATTTTCTCGCCTTCATTTTTCAGATTTTAATTGATTTTGATGTAAAGTTTCCTGGGAAGGGGAAACTTCTGATTGATTGTCGGCCCACATTACGCAACATCATTTTTACATATTCATCCCTTAAACTTCAGGAAGACCGCTGATTCACAGATTTCGCTTTCTGATTCGCTTAATTTCAGAGCAACAGCTGATAACGACGTGTTCATTTTTATACCGATCATTTAAGAGCACAGAGCATTACAGTTATCAGCTAGTGTCACTACCAAGTCCTCTCTCTTAATTATAATTAGGAACGTAAAAACGAACGAAACGTCTGCTTTGTTTTGTGTAGGTTGTATATTTTTCGCATCTACATGTAGTTAGAAATACCATAATGTATTTTTAACTTTCGCTAGTAGCTGGTTGTCTCTTAAAATAATTATGACAATTAGTAAGTGGTACCTATAATTATTTTGGTACATTTTATTATCAGATTTTTTTTATCAGTGTCCTGTAACACACTGAACATTTTTTGGAAGAATTATTAATTTGAGTTTTTAAAAGATTTTTTTCTTTTTCGGATTGAAGCATCTCAGCTCTCCCATTCATTCCCTTTCCCGCGCATCTACCTAAGGTCTCTGCTCGTAAATCTGTCTCAACCCTTTGGCTTCTTATCAGTTTGATATCTCTTATCGACGGCAGTGAGTATATCGTGCCAGTTATCTTTGTAGTATTTTGCCTTGTGTGTACGTTGTTGTTTTCAAGCATGATTGTCATTCTTGGAGCTTGTCGGATGCGCCGAATGGGCGAGAACTTTCCTTTCGAGAGCAGCACTTCCCTTGCCGTAGGTGGAGCCTCTGTTACTAAAATCTCAGGTAAACCATGCATTGAGCAAATATTGACTTCATACTTGGAGAGCCTGCCCTCAAATGTTTCCCAACACAGAGGCTTTCCCTCGAAGTCAAACCCCCACAGGTAATTCCGAGGAGAACAGTGTTATATAGTTAATTTGAAGTAAGAGGAGCTTCAAAGAACAATGTATATAGTGTATGAGAAACTCTATTATAGGAAATACTGGGGGAACTAACCGAAATTTAGTGTAACACATAAAGATTTTCAAAGAATTTACTAAGTATATTAGGCCTTCGGGCTGTGTCCTGTCTCACAGATGTCTTGTGTGTACGTTGTTTTCAAGCATGATTGTCATTCTTGGAGCTAGTTAGATGCGCTGAATGGCTGAGAACTTTCCTTTCGAGAGCAGCACTTCCCTTGCCGTGGGTGGAGCCTCTGTTACTAAAATCTCAGGTATGAGGTAATCTCAGGTCTCAGGAAATCTCATGTATTGAGCAAATCTTGACTTCATACTTGGAGAGCCTGATCTCAAATGTTTCCCACGGTAACGACTCTCTTTTCCTGTTAGGGGGTACCAATGATTTTTTGCGAGGCGTAGCTTTACCTGACTTGCAGTGAGAATACAGGCGCTTGTTGAGATTGTGCATGAGATCTTTTGGAAAGGTTATTGTCGCATGGTACCTTCATTATCTGTGCAAGCCAATGAGCAAATCCAGCAATTTAATCATTATTAGTATGTAAATAAGATACTGATCTGTTGTATTTTGTGTATTTAATTTAATAATCTTAAAGGAATTGTATACAATGCTGTTTCAGTAGTTCACATTGAATGAATATTAAAAAAAAAAAGATCTTTTGGAAAGGTTATTGACGCTGACGTCCCACCAGTGCCTTTATTATCTGTGCAAGCCAATGAGCAAATCCAGCAATTTAATCATTGGCTCTCCGCCTCAACAAGAAACCGAAAGGATGTCTTACTGTTCGATACATATGAGGCATTTTTTGATAAAGATACTCGAGCACCTGATTTGACTTTTTTCGAACAATCCTATCATGATGGTCGAGTGGATTTGATCCATCTCAATCCACTGAGGCTCTTTATCATGAAGTGTTACTTCCTCAACGCTCCTGCACCCTACTATCTATCCAATGAAGACAAATCTTGGAAGGTGAAAACCTTTCTTCCCGTGGCGGAATCCCTGGCGTCAATGGCAAACTACATCGTCGCAACCGGGGAGGACAACTTCTATGACAGTATAGATCCAGGCAAGGAACATACAACGAAGCTTGGCCAGACCCGCAGCGTCGCACCTCCGGCCCGGGGAGAATGCTGGCCTCGCTCCACCTACAGGGCCCTCGATTCCAATCATGATGCACCTTTCGGTTTCTGTGTCAAATCACAGCCAGAAGTCCCTCTTTGGGTATATTTTATAATGCAACCCTTGGATGAATAGAGGCTTGGCGAACTCAAGCTAAACTGCAACTTTACTGAAATCATAACTTACAATTAGATGCACCACTGTGGTATAACGTCTCATGTGTGGCCAATGAGTATAATCAGATTAATTTTACTATGAGAATTTTCGTTTCGTTCCCATTTCAGAAATTCTCTCGGAAACAATATCATGGAGGAGTTGATGCCTTTTCTTTTTTGAACCTGCCAGATTTTGGTTACCTGTTGCCTTTCCTTTTTTGAACCTGCCAGATTTTGGATCCCTTTGGATTTCTGCTAGGAGTTGCTGCCTTTCTTGACGTTTTGATTTCTGCTCCGCAGATCTTTCTAATTTTTCCCTCGGTGAGTTGGTGTTTTAGTAAGTATATGCTATTGTAATACAGTGTATGCTTAAGTATGGAGTCTGATTCAGACTCTGAGAATGTATTCAGGCCGCCCAAAAAAAATGTAGACAACTCTCAAAAAGCTGCTTCTACATCTGTCTCCTCTACCTCTGCTACTTCTGTCAAAAGTACCTTGAAACTTTAAACCACTCGCTTCCTTGTTTGATTCAGCTAGTTTCCTACAAGTTATTTCATTATCCGTCGTGACCTTGCAAGTTCGTTATCAAAACCTTCGGAAAAGGTACTTCTTCAACCCGGTTCCCAGCTTCTCTCACCAGTCGCTCCCGAACTGAACAAAACAGTCTTTTTAAAGACTAAACATGGCATCCGCCCCGACATCGTCTGCCCCCACCGTTCCAGCAACTGCTGAACCCGCCTCCGTCACCCCTGTCGTTCCGATTGCCCCTCCTGAGACCAAGGTAGATGGCCCACTCCTCCTCCGCACTCCTGTCGCAAAACTTGAGTTTGGCCGATGTGACACCGATAGGTACATCCACATCCACACCGTAAATCCCGGTGCGTTCACCACCCTACCCGCCCTCCTCTTTGACATCATGTCGACATTACTCCCTCCTGGAATCGCTGCCCCCCTCGATCAAGCCGGTTTCGTTAGAATGTGTCGAACATTTCTTCTTAAACGCATCCAAGACGTGATGGAAGAACAAAACGGTACGAGACCCGCGAATTTTATTCGTATGTCACGCAACGTCGTTCTCCCCTCACCAATAGTTGAGACCCTCGCCTCGATTGGTTCTTATACCTCTTCGGTACTTGGTGTTCGGTTTGACGTCACTCAACCTGACCGACCCGGATCTCAAGCTCCAAATTGGTGGATCCTCGACGACGTGCTCCTTCAGAACTTTTCACTGTTCTGCGCGCTTACGTCCTCCAACTATATGATGATGCCCTACCCCCGTCAAGCGGATTGGATAGTCTCCCCCCTCGTACTGACCTTCATGCATACTGCGAATGCACAACGGTTAATTCGTGCGTATACAAATGAGCCTAAACTCGTTGACGCGTTCATTCGATTCGTCAATGATGACATGTTCACCAACACCATGCACACGTATAACCAGTGCCATCTTATTATGACTGAGTTGCTCCACCTCGCGCCCATTCAGTACCAATACCTGACGAGTTACATTATACGTCGACAGAACTAGTAAACCCTGTCCACCCTCGTCCTATGTATATACGTTGCGCCCATCTTTACTACATGTGTAAGTTTAACTTAAGGTATCTCCAAATTCAAATTCACCATTTTCTTCAGAAGGTGTTCATAAGAATAAATATCTTACTCCACTCAATAAATTAACTTGTATTTGACAAAATCTTTCAAGTAGAATCTCTATAATTCCGATTAAATTTCAAGTACTTCTGCGTCCTCCCTCGGCGGTTCAACCTTGAACGCCGTGAATAAACTTGCGAGGAGCTACAAATTTCATCGTCTCCTCAAGTAACTAGAAAACCACTGTACATTTGTTCTATGTGTGATGTACAGATTCCTAACCAAAAAAATTTTAAGCGGCATGCTAAGAAATGTACAGGATCAAAAGAGAATAAATACATGAAATGTCCAGAACCCTCTTGCTCAGTTTATTATTATAAACGAGCTGAATTAATTAAACCTCTCAATGAGGAACGTCTAGTGTGCGTTGGTCTTGTGGACAGGAGCCACGGCTATAATATGACTCGCAGGAAATTAGAGCGGGAGGAACGATTGAAGTCTGCAACCCACGTGACGACAATTATAGGGAACAACGCTCTAACTAGCTGGTTCGTCCTTTCGCAGAGGCGCTCATGCTTTCAGAGCCTAATGTTGTATTATATTGGTAAGAGAAGTGACTCCCTTGATAACGGCCCGCGCTGGTACGGATGTTTCTTATCTTTACTATATTTGTAACTTTAGTACTCAATTTCGTACGAATAAATGTGATCGTCCAACAAGTATTCCAGTCCGTGCGTGTCCGGCCAGAATGATGGTAAAGGTGTTAAAAAATGGGTAGTGTGAAGTGAGGTATATCAAAGATCACACCCACGAGTTGAAAAGAGAAAACTTAAAGTAACATCAGTATCCTAAAGAAATTTTGGACAAAATAAAAACTCTGTTGGACCGAGGTGTAAGCCCACGCGAAATAAGGTATGAGGTAGTCCCCAAAGATCATGAGGAGAAACATACACAAAAAGAGTTTCTTTCAGACTTGAAAGAGATAATGAACATCCACTACCGGTTGATCCTGCAAATACACCTAGGAGAAGACTATGCAGAAGCAGTTGGTATGTTAGCCAGCCAGTTTCGACAGGAAGGGGACCCTGTAGGTCTCGAAGCTTATATCCATCTTAGCAACTGGAGGCTGTGGTGAGTGTTCCAACCCTTGTTTAACTTGGTTCGAATGACTCGTGTGATACATATTGTGACTATGATTCAGATGTGGAGAATATGCCACCTCATACTGCGCAACCGCAAGCGAAAAAGGTTTCACCTTCTACTTCCCAACGGCAAGCAGAAAATGTTCCACCTGCGTATGGCGAGGAGCTGGAAGAGGTGAACAATTTAACTACCCGGGAGTTGCTGTTAAAACTTCATGGTTAGTATTAAGCAATGCATTTTGTTAAGTGAAATAAGGTATGACGAAGACAACGATTTTTTCTCACAATTAGCTAATAAAAATGCTCCATTCTTCTGAAATAATGTGTTGAAATGTCCCTTTTTGGCGACTTTTTTGTTAAAAATTTAATCTATTGATGTGATGAAAACTGATTGAATTATGGATCCTGGACGGACATTTTTTGATTTGCGGTGATAATTTGAACTGTGGTGAAGCGGTCAACGTAACAGCGGGACTAAGCACTTTGATCGCTGCTAGCGTTCAACGAGACTATGCCTTGGCTAAAAAACTAGATGGATTATCGTCAGTTCAGTTACACAAGGTATGTAGGAGGGACTACACTCGTAAAAGTAGAACATTAGCGAGTCGAAAAATTCTTAGTGTCAGTGTAATAAGTGACGATGACAGCGAACCGTTTCTTTTACGTTCATCCGTTGATGCGCCATTGGATGTTTGTTTGTTTTTTTTTTTTTTGTGGCGAAAAAACAGAGAGAAATGAAAGAACACAAAAAGGAAGTCCGCGAAGTGCAAACTTTCGAGATCAAGGATGCAGTTTTAAACCAGTGTTTACAAAGGAAGGATGATTGGGGAGACTTTGTTCATACAAGAGTCACAGCATCTCATGATCTAGTGGCATCGGAAGCTCGTTATCACAATAAAAACTTATCCGATAAACTTATAACGCAAATCCAGAAGAATAATCTGAATGCCCCGGGACCTCATGGATTCCAAGACATTCCGTTCTACAATTCGTTTAATATGAGACTTCTTCCATTGCGGCACGAAGTACAATCCACTATGCCAAGATTCGAGTATGAACTCGTCAAACCCATATTAGAGAAGAGCCGAGTTGGGGATATTACAGTTCACCGAAATCAATTTTTTATTTGTGTCAACAGACGAAAAATTTCAAAATTTGATGCCAACGAAGCCATCAAGGTAAGAACTTAAAATATATACAATATACTAAACATGTTTTGTTTCAATACCATTCTAATTAATATTATCTTTCCCCTCTTTAATAATACAAATCAGGTGTAGTTAGTAGATACAATTTAACATTATACTTCTCGTTTGTTTCAGGGAATGGAAATCGTTATTAATAAGGGACGCTCAAACTCAATCGACGGGAGGGCGGGCCGCCCACAAACGGGTCGGCCCGCCCCCCCGTCACCAAACTCCCTGGTCCCAAACCTTCCTCCTCCATCCCGTTCTGTTACAGGTGGAGGACGACCAGGCCGAATCACCCAGAGTAGCGCCCACAAGCCCCTGTTAAACATCTCACACTGGCTCTCTGGAGTAGGACGGCACACCCCTCGGGCCCAAGTCAGGTACGGCCCGCGACAACTTGGAGGCAGCCCCTCCGCTAGCCAAGTATGAATAACGAGCTAATGGAAAAAACACCGCCGGGAGAATTCGGTACTCCCGGAACGGGCAGGAGCTCCGAGTCAGATGTAAACTCTGGCTCGGAGGTTACTGGGATCCAAAATGGATCGGCCCCTCTCAGGTTCTCATCCTGCAACGGTCCAGAAACACACGACGGAACTTCGACCCCCGATTTTAATACAACGGAACGCCTTGACGCCACCCCGAGCACCCCTACCCCCCCTGCAGACGCAGGGCGGAGAGGGGACTCAAACCGCTTCCCCGGCATACGGCACCCCCCAAGGGACCGTAGCCAGGGAAATATTTCAGCTGGAACAGCGGATTAGGAGGTCAAACTCCAATGACTTCCCCCGCCCAGAAAATGATAGCCCGACACCAGGCAAAAGAGCACTCAGACGGCTCCTTGTCAAGCAGTTCGCCTAGTCCCAAAAGAGACACTGGGACAGGAAGGCGGAGGCCCAAGAGGCCTTCGAGATCGCCGACAAAAGTGCCAAAGTAGTAGAGAAACTTCACGGAAAAAACAAGACTAGTGTTGAGCACTACTGGCCGTTTAGTGGGGAGTAGTTGAGGGCTGGCGTCTAAGCGCTGTACAGCTCAACACCGGAAGGCAGTACAGGTGAGCACTGAACATGAGTAGTGCGAATCAGATGCCGCGAGACGTAGTTGCGCTTAACAGGTGTAAATTCACACGTGAGACGTCGGAGTCAAGATAGCCTGGTGGTAACGCGCTGGTCTTCCACCGGCGCAACCCGAGTTCGATCCCCGGCGGAGGCGTTTCATATTTTACGCTCGCTCCAAAGTCACTTTAGGGCTTGACACTACTTCTTCCTTAGTGACCCAGCCTCGAGCTGTTTAGTGCCCAGCACTCCTCTGACTTGCTGGCTCCATTTGACCTAACCCTCGTTAGTGTCCAGCACTAACATGTAGGTCCCAACCCTAAGCTCGTTTTTTCCGTGTTCGAAGTGCTTTCGTAAAACTTCGAAGAAAGGAGAAAACCTACTCCTGGAAGGACTTCATGGAGAGAGACAACCCTATGCTTGACGAGCTCTTAGAAAATCAACAAAAGCTCGCAAGCATAATTCTCGGGAGAGCGGTCCGCTACGAAGCTACCCCGAGGACTTAATACTCAGAGACAGCGGCACACAGACAAGCCCTGTAAAATCTACGCCGCCCCCTACAGACACATCCGACGTCGTAGTCCTTGAAAACGACGTCGGTGCGAATGAGGACCTCAAGAGCCAAAACAATCCTTGGGGCGGACCGGAGATCATCGTACCGGTCCAGCCCTTGACGTCAACAGCTGGCGTCACGGCCCAAGGTCCGCAACAAGTCCCGCCTCAGCCACCGCCCCTACCACCGCCATACCCCCCGCAACCGCCAAAACAACAAAGGCCGAAAAGCAGCGAAAGTGACGCTGTCACCCTAGTGAACAACGCAGGGGGCACTGAATTCCTAATGATGCAATTTTCGAAAATGATTAGGGAGGAAGTCACCAGGGCGATCGATATGCGCCTGGGACAGCCTGAAAAGCAAATGCCGTCAAGGCAGAAAGGCAGAATTGAACCAACGAGGCCTGAAAGTCAGAAACAGCCAGCGACTTCCCCGACATCCCCCAGGGGTGAACCGTCGCGTCCCGGAGGAGGCGGTGGCTACTCGGAAACCTGGCAGGAGGTAGTAACTCGAAACTACCAAGGTGTCAGGGGTCCGAGAGCGGAGACTCACCCGTCTTCCAATACTTCAACAAACAACAGATTCACACCGCTGGGGGGAGGTGACAACGCAAAACGTCGGGAACCCTTCCCGAGTCTCCCCCCGCCTCAACCGCCGAGCCCGTCCACACCTGGGAAAAGGAGGAAGAAAGGGGGTCAGAACCCCACCCTAAACCCGCAGCGACCACCAGCAGTGCAACAAGAACCAAGCAACACGATACGGGAGAAAGACACCTTCCCCGGGGCGGACATCGTCGTCCAACCCAGATTTAGTAACGTCACAGTTACTTGCAACGACGTGTGGACGGAGCTGACCAAAACAGTCAACCCCAGAGACCGCAAGTCACCGCAACAACTAAGGTAAGGTGTTCCCCGGCACGTCCGGAGTTGATCAGGTAATCCCCGGTTCGCCCGGTGTTTAGTTATAAGCCCCGGCTATCCCGGAGAATTAGTCAGGGACCCCGGTTCGCCCGGCGAGTAGATTAGGGATCCCGGCTCGAGCCCGGTGTGGCTAGGAACCCCAGCTCAAGGGAGCTGAAGCCAGGCCCGCGCGCTCTCGGTAGTTTTCCATCTATTTACAGTAAAGTAGGAATTAAGGCCCGAACATACCAGACGATGGAGATGAAATTGATAATGAAGGATTTAAATACTTAGAAAGTCAACTGAGATGGAGAATTTTTCAAGATGAGCCAGGGCTGGGTAAAAGTAATAAATTAGAGTTTATAAACTGGAAAAATATGCTTCCTACTTAGGTAGCTACCAAAAGAGGTGGTCTCCGTAGAAGTTTACACATTGGTGATAGTAGTAAAGATAAAGAAAACACAAATGTCAATCCAAAGAGGAAAAAGTGTATCGGCAACGATATCAGAGCTTGATATAATCTTCATCGAGAATGCATTTCAGATTAAAATTAATATTACCATTACGGATCTTCATGCCCGGCAGAATAAACTAGCAAAACAGTATGAATACCAGCTCAGGCGAAAGTGATGCACCAGGTAATGTCAGTAAAAATATTTTATCCGAAAAGAAGGATCCTGAAAATGTAATTGGATTTGCAACCAACATTAATGTAAACAAGAAGGTTCATGCAGATATTAGTAATAAGGAAAATGAAGCAGAAGTAGGAGTTAAAAATCATGAAAAGCTAATTGTAAATCAGGATGACACTCTAATGGTGCCGTAATGAAAATTGTTTTTACTGTGGTGAAAGAATTCAGGATGAAGTGAAGTGGTGGTATGTGATTACCTAAAGTAACTTTAAAGGGGCTAATTTTCGTGGAACAGTTCAGTCTTAAGTTTCTACTTTAAATGCGCAGCTCTAGTGCAATAAAAAGTGTTAATTTTCGTGGAACAGTAAAGTCTAACTTTATTTTAAGAGTGCAGTTCTAGTGCAATTAAAAGTGTTAATTTTCATGGAGCAGTTCAGTTTAAGTTTTTATTTTAAAAGTGCAGTTCTAGTGCAATTAAAAGTGTTAATTTTTGTGGAACATTTCGGTCTAAGTTTTTATTTTAAAAGTGCAGTTCTAGTGCAATTGAAGGACGAGAAAGTGAAGAATAGTTTATTTCAATGAGTGACATCAGTGCTATAGTGTGTGAGTTAAATAAAATTTAAACAAATTTTCAGTGTCATGAAAATTAGTGTGCATTTGCTGTTCCTAGATTTAAGTATAGATTGCGAGTAAAATCCATAGCAATATTTAGTATTTAAGATAGAAAGTCAAGTTATTTTCCTTAGAATCTGTGCAAGTTCAGACTTAAAGTATTAAGTAGAGTTATTCTTTTAAGATAGGTGATAAGTATGAACTTTGTATTTTGATCATTAAGCTGACCTCGTTATGCCTCAATACCTCATTGTTTTCACATCTTCATTTCCTTTCCTAGGTTTCCCCAGATGTTTTTCTGGACAGTATTGGACAGCCATCGTGGCAATTAGTTGTGCAGTTGGACTGATAAAGGCTTGGCGTGAGGGGACTGTAGGATTAGGTGCGGGATCAGCACTGCGGGCTATTACGAGCTAAAAACAGGACGCACATGTGATTCCCAGAGAGC